CAGCTCACGGGGCGACACAGGGGAGGGACAGCAGAGGGGAGAGCCAGCACACAGCTCACGGGGCGACACAGGGGAGGGACAGCAGAGGGGAGAGCCAGCACATAGCTCACGGGGCGACACAGGGGAGGGACAGCAGAGGGGAGAGCCAGCACACAGCTCGGCAGCTAATTGGTTTGTTAGTAGAGGCTGCAGATATCAGGACTGTCAGCCTGCTATCAAAAATATTGATGCAATATGAAGTTCCAGTATAATTAAATTTAATAGTAAATAATTACTAAATAGTTAATAATTAATGATTGACAGAACAACGGTATACATACTCATGCATGCAAATAAACATATAATAAAAATTAAATGATATCAGAAGATATTTAACATTTAGCATGAATAGTTTTTTTGTGTAATGGTGAAATTGTTAACTTACCCTTTAATAAAAAAGAATTGCCCTACCCTTGCTTTGTTAAGTTTGTCTTTTGATTCCCCTTCTCTCTGGGTCTGTCCGTTTCCCGCTTCACTCCTTCTCTCTCAGTCCTTTTATAAGATGAACTAAAGGTGGGAGGGAGGGCTTTATGTCTAAGAATGGCTTTTTCCTCTGCCCCTCCTTGTTCTTTGACTCAACAATCACTATCAATGACCCAGTATTAGGGTGGTCCAAAATGAACAACTTCACACAGCTTTCCCTCCACAACCCTAATTTTATTCTTCCCCTTATTACAAATGTGTCTGCCAAATTTTATTATGATTGGTCATTATTTAGGTTATTGAGGTCGCTCAAGCTGGTAGTAATGCAACACTGCAACAGCTATATTGTATTGTGTAATTGTATGCAATAAAACAAGGAAAACATGCAGTAAACAGAATTAGAATTTCCATGAGCGAAAAAGAACAGAAGAAACATGTCAAATTAGCTGATACTATCTTGGATTAAGGTTGTCTCTGGACTCTTACTGTTATATATTGTCCCATAACGTTCTAATGTTCTTTATCATCAGTGTCGCACTGTTGCTGTCCCGACTCCTTTTTCAGAAGGGTAGACTTGGCGCAGGTTGGATATTTCTTTCTGTGTCTTTCAACCAAACGTAGGAGATACTGCTTCTGCTCCTCGTTCTTGGTCAGGGATGAATTGTATTGCTGCATCAATGCAATGGCTCTCTCTGCACAATCATTCACGACCTTCATTTTTGACGCTGCTGTTTGAAGTTCCTGGTACGAAGGGTCATCATTCCATTCTCTTGGGTCCTTAGCCAAGAAATTTTGCGCCTTCATCTTCCCATTTAATGACAGTACTTGCAATTAAAGAGATGATAATTTTTTCTTTCGATTTTACCCTGGAATTTTGGCAAATTGTCTTAATCTGAGTCCACAACAACCTTGTGGGACCTTGAGCGACCTCTAAATGTAGTTCAATTTGCTCCATATTTACATCATATCTTTGCTACATCTGATAGAACATATTTAAACTTGTGGAGGTGGGTTTTAATGAAATTCAAAATTTTCCATAGTGCCGTGGACCGCCCTACCCAGTATATTGCTAGCATTTAATTATCAATTCAATTTTAAACTCCTCCTCTTATTGCTGTATTGTACCCCTAAAATTCTAAAGGATGTTTCTGGACTAGATTTCAAACCCTTAAGCTTTGTATCCGGTTTACTTTCTTAAATGACGTAGCTCAACCTCTGTCATCATTCTTCTCGCCGCCTGCCTTTCTGCATTTTTTTTTTCCAGTAGGGATTGTTTCACTGAAGATTGTTTCATTTCCATCACCTGCAGGAAATATCGGCCAAAAATAACTCCATCTTGCTCACTGGCCTGCTGTGGACATCACAATCTACTCCTCAGTGACCCTCACTCTGTTACTGTTTTTCTTTGAGCCACTTGTACCTGTGAATGACAGAGACACTCAGTGTGCTGAGTTAGGACTCTGTTTCCAAGGATTCTTCACCAAAAACTGCAGTCTGACAGAAGGTTGGTTTGGTCCTAAGCATGTTAAGATGCTAGATTTAGTTATACTAAAACTTGGACAGTGCAGGAAAACATTATACTTCATATTACCCAACACCCTTCCAACAGACCAGCGAGAAACAAGATTGTTGGGCTGTTTTCTTTTCTCACCATGGCCCGGTTCCCATCTTTCTTGCCCTTTTAGTTTCCTCCCTGAATCCATTGTGCACTTTTCCTGCAAGAAACATCTGGAGGTGTTTGTCCGTCAACAGCATTTTGACTCGCTATGCTCAGAAATACATGTACACAATCAAGTGCCTACAGCAGTCAAAACTAAGCCAAAAAGCAAGGTGCATGGACCTAAAGTCCCATTATAAACTAAATAAAATACACATAAAAAATATCAAACCGGAGATGGGATCCTGATTTAGTAGAGTTCTATAATTTAACTGGGTTAGACTGAAACACTCTTTTTTGCATCAGTCAATGCTAAAATTATATATGGGATTTAATCTTAGGTGAAATGTTTGTCTAATAGTGTCTTTAGAATGTTTTGTTAAATGAATCTTTGTCTCTTTGTCCTGATTTCTATCTTCTGTGATGTTGCAGATGGAAATGCTGTGATGCAAAAAAATGTCAGACTTGTCTGACAATAAAGTAATACCATCATCATCCTCATAACAGACAATCTTGAAAGATTGTGCTTGGTGTTTTCACTCTTTTCCAAGTAGAAGATAGCAGAAAA